TTTACCAATAGTACCAAACTTGGACTCGTGGAAAATAATGAATATATTTTGAATTGCTTGCAATATAGCATAGATTGACTTGCACAGTAGGCGAACAAATGGTAGATGGAATTAGTACAGTGAGTCGTGCTAGTAAGCCAGAGCACCAGCCTAGTGTACAGGAGATATAGGTTAAAATCCCACCATGGCAGATGATGAAATTGGAACTCAATTAAAAAAATCTGGATTTAAAAATTAGTCAGCACCAGCCATGAAACTGTTATCAGTTGTTGTAAAATGAGCCCAACTGGTTCACTAATGCTCCTTTAGGGAAGGAGATCTTTCTTCTTTACCAAGTCTGGACCACAGGTGAAACCAGATCCACAGAAATGTGCTTAACTCTTAAACTCCTTCTGAAATGGTCCAGCAAATCACTCAGATGTACTACAACTGCAAAAGTCTATGGAAAGGATTGAAACTGGATGGACCACCAAGCATTGACTGAGACACCGGAAATGACACTGGGAATCCCAGCTCTGCAGTTGACCCTGCAAAATTCTCTTTACTAATGCTTTGGGGCTTGTGCCAAATGGGTAGAGCTGTCTCACAGAATAGACAAGCAGCATTTCATGTTGTCATCCTCTCAGAATCGTACCGTAGAGACTGTGTTCCAGATTCCACCATCCTTATCCAGTGGTATGTTCTGTCCCACCTGCAGGACAGTTGCATCAGTGGTGGCAATACAGTGGTGTACAGTCAGGAGGAGATTGCCCTGGGAGTCCTCAACATTAATTCAGGATCGTGTAAAGTCTCATGGCATCAGGTAAAAGATGGGCAAGGAAACCTGCTGATTATCACCTACAGCATTCCCCACCTTGACTGATGAATCAGTAACCCTCCCTGTCAAATGTCACTTGGAGAAGGACTGAGGGAGAAGAGGGCAGAGAATGTACTCTGGGTGTGATTTCAAAGTCCATCACCAGAAGTACCTGGGTAGTAGTACTATTGACCAAGCTGGTTGAGTCCTAAAAGACATAGCCATTAGACTGGCTTTATGACAGATGGTGAAGGAACCAATGAGGGAGAAATATACATGACCTGTACTCACCAATCTGCCTACTGCAGATTCATCTGTCTATGACAGGGCCAGAAAGTCACATAGTCAATGTGGAGATAAAGTCCCATCTTCATTTTGAGGTTGCCTTGGATTTTGTTGTGTGTCAACATGTTAAATGAGATAGTCTTCAAATATATCCAACAATTTAAAACTAAGTATTTATGATAGGCCATCATCAGCAGCAGAATCATACTCCAAAACAATCTGCAACCTCATATCACTCACTCTCCAATTACCATCAGCCTGGAAATCATTTCTGTTCAGAGAAGACTGCAGGAGGTCATGGCAGGTGCAGCACCAGGCATCCTTAAAAATGAGGTGTCAATTTGGTGAAGCTAGAATGCGGAACAACTTGAACTTCAAACAGCCGAATCAGCATACAATTGGTAGGGCTAATTGATGCCACAGCCAACAGGTCAGATCTAAGCTCTGCAATCCTGCCATATATAGTTGTGAATTCAGGAGAAGGATACATGACAAATGTTATGTATCCGCATTTTCAGTGCTGGAAGAGCCCAGCTGAAGCCTTTTGAATTCCAAAATCTGTCAATTCTGAGTGGAAAAAATGGTTCCTCATCTCTGTCTTAAATGGGTGACCCCTTATTTATCAACCATGATCCCTAGTTCTAGATTCTCCCACAAGAGAAAACATCCTTTTGACATCCATTTGATCAAATCTCCTTAGGATCTCTTATATTTCAATTTAGTCTCCGCTGATTCTTCTCAACACTGGAGAATATAGGCCTTGCCTGTCTAGCTATTCCTCATGAGGCAATCTGCTCATTCCAGTTATTAAACTAGTAAACCTTCTCTGAACTGCCTCCAATGCATTAAAATCTTTCTGTAAGTACAGTGACCAGTACTGTACATAGCCTCCCAGATGCAGCCTCACCAATGCCCTTTATATCTGAGCATTATCTCTCTACTCCTGCATTCAATTCCCCTCACAATAAAACATAACATTCTATTAGATTTCCTCATTATTTGCTGTATCTATCTACTAACCTCACCTAATGATTCATACACTAGGACACCCAGATCTCTGCATCTCAGAACTCTGCAACCTCTCATCATGTAGAAACTAAAACAACATATTTGAGAGAGTGGTTAACAAAGCACCTGGGATCTTGGAGTTTCACAATAGAAGCAATGACTACAAAAGTGGGGAAGTTACAATGAACCTTTATAAAGCTGTGGGTAAATGCCACCTGGTCACAACACGCTATGAAGAAAATAAGGGTCCTTGATAGGGTGCAGGAGAGATTTATGGCTCCTGGAATGGGGGATTTTAGTTACAAGTTTAGGATGGAGAAGTTGGAGTTGTTTTCCTTGAAGCAAAGGAGATTGAGTGAAGGTTTGATAAAGATGGTACAAGATTATAACACATTTAGGTAAGGTAGACAATCCCAAACCATTCTCATTAGCACATAGTGCAAGGACTAGGGGGACACAGATTTAGGTTTCTAGGCAATAGATGTAGAGTGAATTTGAGAAGAACCTTTTTACAGAGTGCGTTGTTAAAAGCTGGAGCTTGCTTCCCACGAGGTTAGTAGAAGCAGAGACGATCAGTGATTTTGAAATGAAATTGAAGCGTCACTTTAATGACATAAACTTAGGAACAAGTGTGGGTCTGACTGGATTGCTCTACAGAGTGCCATGGACTCAGGTGGCCTCCTTCAGTGCAGTAAATGACATGAGCTAAGTAATCTGATAATCTGTTTTGGTGGTGCTGGTTCAGAAATAAATGTTGATCAGGAAACCAGAGAGACCATTCCTGCACTCCTTTAAGTAATGTCACAGGATCATTGGGGAGGCGATGGCCTAGTGGTATTATCGCTGGACTGTTAATCCAGAGACCCAGATAATGTTCTGGGGACCTGGGTTTGAATCCCACCATGTCAGATGGTGGAATTTGAATTCAATAAATATCTAGAATTAAGACTCCAATGATGACCGTGAATCCATTGTCGATTGTCAGAAAAAAACCCCATCTGGTTCACTAATGTCCTTTAGGGAAGGAAACTGCCTCCCTTGCCTGGTCTGGCCTACATGTGACTCCAGACCCACAGCAATGTGGTTGACTCCTAACTGCCCTCTGGGCAATTAGGGATGGGCAATAAATGCTGCCTGGCCAGTGATGCCCTCGTACCATGAATGAATAATGAATTTACGTCTACCTGAGAAGTCTCATCTGATAGTCAACATCTCTGACAGTATGGTACTCATTTTGTACCATTGTTGGAATGTCAGCCTAGAATTTGACTTCACATGTCCAGAGTGGAAGTTGAACCCATAATTTTTCTCCAACACTGAGGTGAGGGTGGTACTGAATGAGTCAGCACTGACAAATTGACTTTCAGGATCTTATGTGAAAATAATTTGGGATGGTCTCAATTCTTTTCCTAATTAAGCAGGTATTTGTATCACCAAACAGTCTGTAAATTGGCATTTTGACGGACCACAAGACGGCTAGTGAAGAAAATTAACAAAATGTCATCCAGGTACAGTAGGGACTGTTCTGAGTTATGAGCCAATTGGATAGATAGAGGGAGCTTTACTCATCACCTTGGGAAAGCTTAGTGTTGACGTTGGACGAGCTCTAAAATGCATCACTAAAAATAAATTCAGATTGATGTTCAAAACAGATGTCAGAAAAATCTTGATCGTTCCCACTGAGCTGTTCAGTGTGGACATGCCCAACTGTGTGCGAAAAACGTTTATTATAACAGCCTGAATCCTGTGCAAACAGATCTGTTCTTCACTCAAGGTAAACATCTTGCTGACTGATTATTGGACTTCACTCCACTAATCAAATGCTGACCTAATTATCAATGGATACGTATGTTGATTGCATGGAGCAATTGTGGAGGCTAGGCTAATTATTTTCATTTATTTCAATATATCATGATAAAATATAATTCTGGATTCAGTCAGTAATAAACTCTGGTTAAAGGTCATTATCGTATTTTGCATTATGCTTAAACTTTGGGAGGTGAAATAACATCACAGAGAAGGCTTTGAATACATTTTTGAGCCAGTAGTCTCCTTTGTGAAGAAACAGGAGGCCTTAAAAACAGTAAGTCATCTTTTTATTAACTGAAATCTGCACTGTTTACTTTTCTCTGCATGTAATAAAGGATACAATGGAAATACATCACCCTGCCTCTGTGGAATTTGAACCAGAGGCTAATGGATGATAATGGGCTTGGCCCAAAACCTCAAGCCTTTATGTACTTTTCCGGAACCAATTGAATGGAATTGTTTGTTTGGGAAGATTTAGGAAATGCTTAGAACTCTTTGAAATAACTTTGTTTGGGGCTGTTTCTTTTTAATTGAGGTTTTGGATGGGATAAATATTTAATAACTGGAAATCAAAGATAATTCTGAAAGGGAAATAATCCTTCTATTTGGTAACTGTGAAATCTTTATCATTGGCACAAAATGTCAGTTTTACCCTATGGCTGTGAATTTTTTTGATGTATTCTTATCTCCACAACCAGGTTCTTGTCTTAATAAGTTGTGTGAACTCAGTTGAGATTTACAAGTAATAAAATCAGACAAACACAATCCCCCCCCACAGAAAAATTAGTCACATGTTTCAATACATTGTGACATTTCTGTAAAACTGATAAAATAGCCTGATACATTTAGTAGCAAGGATTGACACTTGTAAAACAAGCCAATTTTTGTCTAAAACTTTATTTTTGCCTGGTCACATTCTGTTCTGCTAATTAAGAGCACAGCTAGGATGGCATTATGAGTCTCAGGCCCCATTGTAATATAATATACTGTCCATAAAAAAGGCCAAGATATCCGGAAACAACACCAGGAGATTGCCTGTAATTAAATCTCACTGTGTTTTATTATGGAACCAATAATGCAGACACCTGTTTGTTATTAACAGAAGATTGGCTGTGATGGAATCATTGGCTCAGCAGCCAAAGAGGATCGCTGTGGTATGTGTAACGGTGATGACAAGTCCTGCAAAATCATCAAAGGAGATTTCAATCAAAGCCGAGGAATGGGTGAGGACAAATGACAGAGGCTCCTAAAGCCAGCCTTTTATCTTCTTCTTGAAAACTTGATATAAAAGGGCTGTGTTTTTAAGACCCACACTGTAATAAGGTGAAAACTGTTTGGATAACAGCAAATATTTAAGAGTAATTGAGACTAAAGGCTGTTTGGGAACTGTTACTTCAGCAAATCAAACAGCTTTTCCTTTGTTGTTTGAAAGTTGTTTGTGTAGTTTAAAATTCCTACCAACTGAATTAACTGTGATCATCGTATTAGATTTCTAAAATCGTAGCTAGTTTTCCAATTCACAGGTGGAGCAGAGCTGAGTTTCCAGGAATCGCAGAAAGGAAAATGGGCTGGAGTTTGTTATGCTGGAGTTCTGCTCTCACTGTTATTCTCTTGGGATTTCCAGGACTTTTCCAAATGGGCAGATCAGCTTCTGATCTGCACTTTTATGGTACTCAGAATTCTGAGGTGACAGGTAGTCTTCGTGGTTCTCCATATGCATTCAAGAGGTGATTGTGGGCATCATAAACACCGGACAGAGGTGGGGGCTCCACACCATTGCCCATGGGCCTTGTATGTAGCTGTTCAGGAATGATACATTGACCAGTAGCCCAACAAAATCGTAGCTTCTCCTCTCATGCAAAAAAGCTTTGCTGGCCCTTAGTTTCTGGCTTTGAATGGCCTGAACCAATAACAGATGAAGGCACACCTCTGCCAATGGAACGTATGGACAATACTGAAAGTGTTAGGTGACATGACTGGAATTTTACCAGCCTTTTGGACATAGGCCGGGTCAGAGGAGTGGTGGTAAAATATTGGTGGAAGGCATCAGGAATGATTTCCCATCACCAGAAAATATTGCAAGAAGTGCAAATTGCAGTGGGTTGACTCTCCGATGACTGGAAATGAAATGCGAATTAATCAAACCAAGTGAGTCATTGTCTTTAAGACTGATATAGATAGGTTTTTGATTGGCAAAGAGATCAAGGGTTAGGAGGAGAAGGTAAGTGGATGGAGTTGAGAAACATATCAGGCATGGTCATGGTGGGGCAACCTCATTGGCCTAATTCTGCACCTATATCTCATGGTCTTTTTGCCTGTTAAGACCATCTGAAAACTTTGCTGTCATTTTACTATTACTGGGATAGCCTCTGGAGAAGGGAGAGATTGGTTGGAGGTGGTCCTCTTTGCTGGCATCTCAAATGCTGAGACTGAGGTGAACACCCCTCAAATTACCGGGTACTGCCTGGCATCTCCATTGGGAGGTACCCTGTCTTTCACCTTGCAGCTTCAACAGCAGCCACATGTATCAGTTCCATAGCTTATTCTGTGACAGTCTTTGCTGTTTTGCTGCCCATTTATGCGGACTCAGAATGTTCATTTTGTCCTCATGTCCAAACTTCACACTTGCCTGTAAAATTCCAAACAACGTATTCAGCATTTTACATTACAAAGGAGGATGACTCATTATCAAACGAGTCTCACACCATCTGCCTTACCCCAACAGTCCAATCAATGTTTTCCTTTCCAAATATTTATCCAATTCCTTTTTCAAAGTTATGATTGAATCAACTTCCATCATCCTTCCAGGTTGTGCATTCTGGATTTTGATAACTTGCTGCATATTAAAATTCTCTCCTTCTACCTCTGGCTCTTGCGCTAATTATATTAAACCTGACCCTTTAGTACTGATTTAGGTGGGATGTTCTTCAGAGAATCGGTGCAGATTCAATGGGCAGAATGGCCTCTATCTACACTGTAGGGATTCTATGATTCATTCTATTCTATTAAAGACAATATAGTCTTAACAACACAGGTCTAAAGAGTGTGCAGGAATAAAAGAACCTAGGGGCCCATGTCAGTTGACCTTTAAAGAACTGTTACCATTAAGTGATTATACAGGGACCAGGGAACATGATATAGGATTTTAGGCAAGAGATACATGGGGAATGTGCTACACGTGGTCATGGCCTACCCAAGAGGATGATGGAAGTAGACACAATCAATGATTTTAAAAGGAAATTGGACGGGCACTTGACGATCATCACCTTCCAGGATCACATGGATGGAGTGGCATTGACTGAATTACTCCATGATCAGACTGAATAGACTGAATAGATCGAATGTTCGTCTTCTGTAGTCTAAATGGTCCACAAAGGGACAATACAAAAAAAGTACTTACAAATGTCAATTGGTGTGGTTTTCTGAATGATTCAACAGTTAGATTTAATGAGGTAGCCTGGAGATTGTGCAGACACATTTAAATGTGGTCTTCTGGCATGAAGGGGGCAGATAGGAAACACAAATGCTTACCCATCCTCGAACGAAGCTAGGTTAACTTGTTGTATGGGGCCCAAGATTCCATCTCAAATTGTACTCCCAAACACAATCCACTCATTTCACATTATGGGCAAATAAGCATGACCAATCCACCTACCTTGCACATCTTTGGACTGTGGGACGTAACCAGAGCAGCCGGGGGAAATCCTCACAGACAGAAGGAGAATGTGCAAAATCCACACAGACAGTTGCTTGAGGGTGGAATCAAAACCAGGTCACTGGCATTGTGACGCAGCAGGGCCAACCACTGAGCCACATAAGTTACCCTTTATTTACACACCCTCAGCCCATGACTATACCACTGCCTGATACAAAGTCAGCCACAGCGTGCCAGTATCTCCGATATTCACCCTTTTTATATGTCACCCAGGGCTCCCTGATTGGATGAGATTAACAGCCCCAATCAGGGAACTCATATTCTATGAGGTCCAGTTGGCTGACCTTGTTACAATCGCTGCAAGCAGCAACTCGGCATAAATCTAGGAAAATCTTTTCTGGACTGAATCAGATGAACCCGTTGATACTCCTGCATTTATTCAGCTCTTGTTGCTTGGCTGATTTAGATGTTATCAAGTGACTTGGATCTGTAAAGTCAAATGCTGGAAAAAAAATAGTGTAACTTCAACTAAGAGCTTTTATAACACTGTGCTTTATGATGTATGATACTTCTGACTCATTTAAGTGTGTTATACACAGCCTTTCCAACTGAGTGTATCTTCAGATCATGCTTGCTATAGTATCAATTTGTTAAGGTATAAATGACGGATGTTATTATTGTTTGTTGTTTTATATGTGTATAGATAATATATAATTATGTATTATTATTGCTATATTTTTATTGAATATCTTTCAGTCAGGGTTGAGCAGGCTTGGATAGGAATAAGGTGAATTGGTGTTCTTCAATTTACGCCATCATCCACACTCAGTATGGCATCTTAAAGTGATCTCTTGAATGCTGGTGTCAAACATCTGACAAAAAGTAAATCTGTTTTTGCAGGATCTTTCTCCTTGGCATTTAAAATATATGACTGTAACAAAAGTAGTCCTTGCGGGGACCTGTTCTCTGAAGGCTGTTTTAAGATTGATGCAGAATGTGACGTTCTGCTCAGACTGCACGTGATGTTAATCTCAGTAATAAAACATTAAGATGAATGGAGAAATAATGAACAAGCTGTTGGAGCTAGATGCATTAGGAACCGTGATATTATATCGTCCCTTCAAGTTAACTTGCATTTTCTAATTCCTTGAAAGCACCGTAATTAATATCTTACAGGCTGCTCTGTTGGCTTACCTACCAATGAAATGAATGTACTTTAAAATTATTCAATCAACTTACTACAAAGTTTACACTGCCTCCAACCCATTAGCTATAAAAAGGGACAGTGTAAGATTTGGGATTCTGAGCTGTAGTCATGTAAAATAGTCACCTATTCATGAGAAATTTCAAGATAGTTTATAAAAGCTTATTAAGAAGGAGCAGTGAGAAATGATATGTTAGCTAAATAGACAGTTTAATGATACAACCAAGGTTAGATGAGGATGGATCACTGATACCAGATGATGAATGGTTGGTTAGCATAGAGTGTGTTGATCTAATTAATTTGTGAAGGCAACATCCTGCTCTATAGTCAAAGCACTAGGAACTTGCTAGACTTTTCTCCATCTTTCCTCCCTGATGATCTCTGCCACTTGAAGAGAGGACTTCTTAATATACTTATGGACTTGTAGTTTAATCCATGACAATCATCTTTCCAACTATCTTCCTAGAGCTGGGGGCATAGTCTGTGAATTAGGGATAGACTGTTCAGGAGAGATATTAGGAAGCACCTCTAAACAGAAAGAGCGGTAGAGGTTTGGTTGCAAGATCAGTTGTTAGTTTTAAATCATTTTTTTGTCAAGCAAATTTATTTAAGGATATGGACCAAATCCAGGTAAATGGAATTAGGTCACAGATCAGCCATGATCTCATTAAATGGTAGAACAGACTTGAGGAGCGGGATGGCCTACTCCTGTTCCTATGTGTCTATAACCAATAAATGCAGGACAAGTACTTGATTTTGGAATTGTCTCTCAGCGACCATCTCCTGGTCAATGTTAGCTTTTGGTTCTGTGTAAACACTTGCACAGAGGAAAGGGTACATAAGGTGCCATCTTACTAATTTAGGAATGTTGATGTGGAAGTCTGAAACAAGAGATTTTGACATTTCCAGGAACTGTGAGTATTTACAGACAGAAAGAAAACAGTTTCTCTGTTGAGGTGGCCTTACGCTATGTATACCAATCCCGAATAAGATGCTTCTATACTTATTCTAAAAGGTGTAATTTAATAAAGGTTTGACACATTTGCTTTAATTCACTAGCTACCTACACAGCCGTATAAAGAGCATAAAAAGTAGGAGTAACAATTTGTTCAGTCCTTTGAGCTGGCTCTGCCATTCAATGAGATTGTTGCTGATCTACTTCAGCACCACTTTCCCACAATATTCTCCATTTTTGATTCCATTAGTACCCAAAAACCTATTGATCTGAGCTCTGAATATAAACTATGGGACAACCACAGCCCTCTCTGAAAATTCACAACCCTCTGAGTGAAGGAATTCCTCTTCATCTCAATTCTAAATAATTTGCCCTTTACCCTGAAACTATGAGCCCTAGTTCCTGATTC